AATGACCAAAGAGTTTCTATATTTTTCCTATTTAAAACTTGACTCTTCTGTAGTTACATCGTGTACTAAGACCGAGGTCAAATGAAAAGTTGTGATTTTCATTGTACTGGCCCTCTTTCGCCGGAACGAGAGTATAGTTCCTAGCCATATCAGCCTAGAAAATCGCAACTTTTGCAAAAAACAAAAATCAACATCCGGAATTTGTATCACATCAGAAAAAACAGCAGCTTGACAGCAGCTTTTTTGGGGTGGATACTCCTTTTCTTAGAAAATCCCTGATTACCTTACTGTCTCTATAACGGCCTGAAATGACCTTTGTGAGTTGAAAGACTGTTGAAAGGCTCCCCGGTCCTGCCCTTTACGAGGGGTGATTAAGTCATTCCAACTAAAATTTAATTGGCACCACCAAGTACAACCCCTCTACAATTTGCGTTCCTATAGTGAGGCATTTGGGCAAACAGAAAAAAAGTGATTGGATGCATCTCTTTAATGTAGGGCAACTCACAGCAACCTGTTACTCCTTCACCACAGAGGGTGCTCAGATAATTACAACAAGCAGTAATCCCTTGTCTTTGGACATGCTCAGATCAACTCCCCTTGCAGCCAGTTTGTGCATGGCAGTGACAGGCTCTCTTTTCAGCATGTAAACAAACTCAGTGGCATATCATGGAATGTGCAGGGGGTAAAATGAAACTACTGAACGGTTATTCTGGGTCCTGTGCATCTGCAGTTGGATACAGAGGCAGACTGTCACTCTTTACACTTAAAGCTCATATTTTTATACATTTATATACATTGCTTAGGTGAATATAAATATAAAAATAAAAATATAAAATATATTTAAACTATATTTTAAAATATGATTTTTTTATTTTTATACTATATATAAAGCAGGTAGAATAAAATAAAGTAATTAAAATATAAGTAATAATGAAGGAAAAGTAAATACAAAAATACTACTAGAAAAATACTATCTAGAAAATGCAAAAAGCATGCAGGAAGGTTTGGCTGGGAAAATGAGATAAATGCAAGAGGTTTCACACACATTCATACTGCAAATGAGTATGAAACATTCATACTGCAAATGAGTATGAAACAGAGACACACACACAATGAAATATCTGTATCTGAGTCATGAAGGGAATATACCTCCCACCATGTCTAAGTAGATGGGACATGTTAAAGGTGATGTAGGAGCAACAAGTGCACCTCCTGGTGGACTAAAGAAGAGCACGCAGGAGCAACAGCCATTGACGTCAAATGTAACCTGTATGTGCTGCGTTTTTTTTGAGGTAAAATAGTCTCTGCGCCCTTGACAGTGAAGGCAGGGTTGCCCACCTGGAAAGAGAAGGTGGTGGCCTGTTGAAAGACATTCTTAAAGAAAATCGAGACACTGGAACCTGAGCTGATGGCGAGGGGACCCTGAGCTTTAGGTGGGGTGCAGATGCCATACAGAGGGAAGACGTACTCCCCTCCAAAGTCTGAGCAGATGGTGAGCAGGCTTTGGATGTCTCCCACTTGGCAAGGTTTGAAATGGACCATCACACTAATATCTGTGCCAGTTTGGTTCCCCGCTGCTCCTTTAAAGTTCTTTTCCACAGTGAAGTTTGGATTGTCCGTCTGAATTAGAAACAAGATTTGAGTGGAATGTTTATAGCAAAGACATTAGAATTTAAGCTGCTGATGTCATTCTAAACCAGTGAAATAAATGGAGTTCAATGTTGTTTTAGTCCCACTGACTTTAATTTTACAGACAAAAACAATTGAAACATTAAAATATATTTTTTGTGTGTGTGTTCAGAAGAAACTCATTCAGGTTTGGAACAACATAAGGGTGAATAAATGATAGTAGAATTTTCATTTTTGGGTGAACTTTCTCTTTAGGACTTTTATCTCAAAGATAAATTTGGCTAGGTGATAATGGCAAAATAGGGGCTTGTACCTTGCATATATATTCAGTCTTGACACAGGAAAAGTGGGTGAACTTAGCCATTACACTGTGTTTGCAGCCAAGTGGTGCTCTGAAATATAGAGGCTTCTCAAAGGGTGCAGGCAGGGCCTTCAGTTGAAGCTCATAAAAGAAGTGTCCGAGTTCAGTAGCATACAACACCAGCCGGGCTGTGGACTCTCCCTCACAGAGAGGCTGATATTCAAATGTCAATGTAATCTAAGCAATAAAACAACAACAACAACAAAAAAACAAAACAAGACTTTTTAAGAACAACCATTAAATACCAGATTTACCACAGCAAAACCTCCTTGGTTTTTCATTTGTTGGCACTGATAGACAATTTATTTCTTTTTAATTTTTAGGATTAAAAAAAATGACAGAAAAGTCTGTCCAAAAATTAAACCTCTGTAATCATTTAATGCAATCACATTAAATAAATGTTTGGAATAGCGTGAGGGTGAGTAAATAATGACAGAATTTGTCATTTTTTTGGTTGACTAACCCTTAAAAAGATTATGGAGCCCAACATGCGTGAAAAAATAAGGTATTGTACAGAGAAATAAATGTTTTGGAAACAAATTCTTAATTTGTTAATCCATCTGGATCCATAAATAATGTTCAGAAATTGATAATTTATTTTACAACATAGGGCTAGATTTACTAACAGGATTTACTATAGACACGCATTGAAGGCGTAGACAATTATCTTGCAGTTGACCTTACTGCATATGCATTTGTAGGAGTTTTCCTTTCAGATGCAATTTCAGAAATTTATGTTAAATGAATCATACAACATTATTTACTAAAATTTGCAATAGTCAATTTACTGGTATTTGCGCCATTATTTAACACCTGAAAAAGCATGTCTTAACCTGTTTTGCTCCTTGTGTAGATTACACACACCTGATCGGTTCTGCTTGTTTGCGACCCTATGCTAATTTTCGCTGCTCTTGGTAGATTTGTTAGTCA